TTGTGTTTATAAAACCAGCAATTTATGAATTTATTTTGAACATAAGTTAAATCAAACACTTGCACGGGAGTGCTGGTCAAGTTCTAGTTACAGCTTAAAGCTAACCGTTATGAGTAGTAATGTTGTACACTAGTCTTCCAAAAAGCTGCAACTGTTTATGAATAAGTTTTGGTATTTGTAATTCTTTAGTCTGTCTGACATTTGGTGATCTTAGAGGCATGTGAGTCCTTACAGAATGCTAAAGTGAGAGTATACTGAAGAGCAACATGTGGGTTGACCCTAACATAAATACAGATGCAGGAGGACTTGAAGGGTTTGTCCCGAAAGATGAGAAATATTTGGTGGCAAGAAGATTGGCTCAATGATGCCTACCCACAGTCTTTGGATTAGTGTGATGATCCGCGATGACTTCCATCACTTAGTTTGTCTCTGTATTTATTACTCCGCTTGTCCAAATCTATGCCTCTGTCTCTGTGAGATGACCTAGGCATGTCCCTCTCTCCACCTTGTTCCTTCTCCCTATCACTCTCGCTTACTTACCTTTTTCCTCCCTCGAGTCTTCAACAATTGGGAGACTGTTTGACTCTGCATCGCTCTTCCTCAAATCTGTAGCCTTTTCATGAGGCGTAGTAATCATTCCATCCTTGACTCGTTATTAGCTAAACTCTTGGTATCACCAGCATAATAAACTCTGATTAAAGCAAAAGAATTTTTTGCACTCAGGGTTTAAGATTTTGCTAAACAGACAGAATAAAAGAAAATGCACTCAAATTATCTTTCTTTATTAGTTTTCCCATCAATGGGATATATACAACTATATTATGGTCAGGGATAAATATAAAAATTATCTTTATCAAACTAGGATCATAGGATATATACAACTATGTTATGTTCTTATCAGTAATATATTAATGTATTGTAAATAATATTACAGTGTCCAGGCTTGAATGTCCAACTTATACAATACCTTAGCTTAACAAGACATGCAAGTGAGCACGACAAAGCGCTTTTGTCAAAATGCATAGTCTTTTAAATATATTATCCAGTGTTTTAAAAATCGATCTACACAGCGATTAGGCATTCACCTAATCGGTAAATCGGGTATGTGCAAAAAAAATTAGTTTTTAAAATAATCAGTATAGTTGTTCAAAAAAATCAGTATATATTTCCACTTAAACAATAATCCTCCTCAAATCGTCTAACCACCGTCTAACGAATTTTAGAACATTGTTATGATCAAGCTTTATATTATTATTATTATTATTATTATTATTATTATTATTATTATTATTATTATTATTATTATTATTATTATTATTATTATTATTATTATTATTATTATTATTTTGATTAAATCAAGCCTTAGATTATTTAAACTTTTTTGTGTTCAGGATGAATAAACTATCTTTATAGTTACAAATTTATCGAAGTTAATAAATAATATATATTATAATACGAAACATAAAATGCTTTTGTAAATTTGTTATCAGATTCTGGAAACCACGATAAAAATAATATAAAATCGAAACATAATATGTTTTTGTAATGTTTTTCAAAAATCAGATTTTGGAAGCCACAAATAATTTAATAAAATGCCAAAAAAATTCTTTTTAATAACTTGAAGATCTTTGATTATATATATTAGTTTGCAAAATTTTGTGGATCCAAAATGAATAATTTTTCATCAGGCTATGCTTAAAACCAGTTCTGTCAAAAGGTTGTAATTGAAATATTACGACTGATTATGAAATAAAGTTAGATGATGCTAGTTGATTATATTATGAAACTATGCCTCTAAAAGAAATCCCCCCACCAACAGTGACTGCTTATCTTGTTTTACTTAAATAAATGTTTTTAAACTTGAACTTATCCGACGGGCGATCGAAAGTTAAATCATGACTGGACACATATCCGGACTGGATGGATAAGAAACGGGTTTGTTTATATTTGCTAACAAAAATATTTTTTTTGTTTATTATTTCGCTTTTAAATCACTAACTATTACAAATAGAAATTTCTTTAATATTTTACCATATTAAATTATTTAATTTACATAAATCATAATGATAAATATTTAAAGTTTAAATGTTAATTTTATATGTAAATTAGAATATTTATTTAATATTAGATTTTATTTGGTTTATTTATAGCTTTTAATTCCAAATTATTTGTATTAAAAACTTTAGTAACTAAAATTAATTATGTTTATAAAATTTACTAAAGATAACTAACAAACTATATAGAGATTTAATTCTATTTTTATATTAATTGAATTGGGATGAACCTGATTGAACCTGGTCGAACTTTATTAATCTATGACCCCCAAAAAAATTCGGTTTCAGTTATCGGTTCTGCTTTAAAAGGGTTGACTTGAAATCCCCTATATATTATTTGAGAATCATTTAAAAAGTTGTAACCTTAAGTTTGTAAGAATTAAAAATAACCCCAATCCTATGTGGCATAGCTCTTTGGCTTCTATTTCAAATCCCAAGGATTCTAGAGCATGTAATATAATGTATAGTCTAAAAATTATATTTTCTAGCAATATAATATTTCGTAGACTATAGTTGGTCGCATATATCAAATATTTATTGTTTCGCATGCTTTCCTTAAATAAAACCTACGGAATTTCCTAATTTGATTAAAATATATATGACAATTAATGATTTTAAACAATAAAGATTTGATAACAATCTGTATACTTTTTCTCATTTTGTTTATTTATTTATTATTAAAATAAATTACACAATTACATTAATCATATACTAAAATCTAGATTTTTTTTGTCTATGTTGTATTTCGAATTTTTCAAAATGAGTATAAATTACTAAAACTGTTAAAAGTCTCACATAAACTTTTAGGATCAAGGTTTTAATTTTTTCTATATTAAAATATAATGATTATAAGACCATATGAAGAAATAATTTTAGTTTTTATATATATATTTTATATCGTTTTAATTAAACTATAAATCGTATGAAAATACCTACTTATATTTTGATATTTGTCTTCAACATATATTGAAAATTTAATATTTTAATTTTGAAATATGTCATTGTTTTTTTAAAATGATTATAAATTATTGAAAATATTAAACATCTCACATTAAAAAAAATCGTTGGTGTAAAGTTTTGTTACACAAATATGCAAATAATCATAAAATCACCTCATTTAATAAATATGAATATTAAAAGTGTGTCATATTACTATGTTTATACAATTTAAATTTAATTATATATCCTATACAATATATAAGATTGATTATTTTTATTTATTTACGCTAATTGCGAATAAACAAGAGTGATAGTTAAATTTATATTCATACGTCAATTTATTACATAATAGTGACAGATTTCTTAGTTATGTAATATATATATATTTATTATTTTATTATTTATGATATGCAGAATATTATAAAATAAGTTATAAATATTAAATATTTATTGTGCATAAAGTGCAGATCTTAACCTAAGTATGTATCTTTTTAATTATTTTAAATCTTAAGTATTTTCTCAATCCCAGGTCAAAACAAATAAACAAAATGAGAATAAACTTCAAAATCAATATTTATATCGAACCAAAATATTTAAAAACACAACAAGAGAAAAAATTGAAGATAAGTAGGATTAACACGTGAACGTGAACTTCTCATAACCATAATTAATTTTTGAATTATTAAATCATGATATAAAACTGAGTTAATTTTTAATTTGTTAATTTTTTATTTTTTTTTATTTTTTAAATCATTATGGTTATGTTAAATCATGACCATAATTAATTTTAAATTCTTTATTTGTATTTGAAAAACTTAAAATATTGTTTTTAAAAATAATTTAAAATTTAACTTAACTTTTTATAAAATTATTTAAAAAATAATAATTTGTAAATAATATAGTTTTCTAATATTATTATACAAATAAATAAATTATATTAAATTAGTTTTGAAACTTTATATATTTTAACTGTAATTATTTTACCAATTGCTTCTTAAAAAAACATTAGAAAATTTGCTAATACTCTACCAATCAAGCCCAATGACACTCTGTTTATTTTCCATCACTCGAACACCAAAAAGTGAAAATATATATGAAATCAGGTTCATTAAATTCTAAGATTTGATATATAGTTCTAATTACAATTGCTTCTGATCCTACATATATATAATTATTTAAAAATTCCAAAATTCTAAAATTTCAAATACATATAAAAACAATTATATGTAAATTTTAAATTTATCAATATTAAAATTCTATATTTTAATTACGTATATTCACCCTGCGCAAGGCGCAGGTCTTATCCTAGTAGTTTTTATATTTGCCAAAAAGTTGTCGAGACATTGATTACCTTCGAGAACGAACGACCCATCGAACTTTATTTATGATCTTCCATGTCAACCATACTATTTAAAAAAAAAAAATTATAACATAGTTTTTCTTTTAGTTTTTATTTGTTTAAAACGAATTATTCCATCCTTAACAAGTACAGTTATGTGCCTTTACATCCATCCACGTTTTGATCATAACAAAAATAAATATTGAGCCGGCTAACTGTTGTACGGCGAGTCCGATTCCTCCTTCCCGGGGGCGACTACATTTACAAAATATAACTATGGTATAATAGTGGGTGTCAAGAAATACATAATGCGTGGGGGAAGATAAATGTTTCAAAATTTAGAATTAACGCCGACAAAGATATCATGATTATGAAATACTATAATTAATCAGATTTATGTTTTTCTAGAATGTATCGGTTGTAAATATAACATATTCCACTATCATACCATGTACATATAAATAATCAGATCGTAATACATTTTCTTTGTCTCTTGATGATGGAGGTATCAAGCATGGTTCAAGCTTCGTTCATTTACTTTCTCCTCGGCTTTTCAATCATGATATGTCCTAATGCAGCGGGTTAGTTATTCTACCCTACATTATACTTTTAGTTATTCACTAAAACCTTTCACAGATTTTTATGTTAAGTGACTGAACTTGAGTATGATGGGACTGGTTTCAGACATAAGCATAGACTGTGGATCATCTAGTTCGCATACTGACGCGGGAAACAGGACGTGGGTTGGAGACACGGACTTTGTATCAACCGGTTTATCATCTAAAATTGAGTCTACCGGAACTGCTGATTATCTAACCACACTCCGGTATTTTCCGACCGGAGAGACAAATTGTTACGCCAACATTCCGGTTGATAAAGGTGCGAAGGTGTTAGTTAGAACGAGATTTTACTACGGGAACTACAACGAAGAATACAAACCTCCCAGGTTTGATGTCGTGTACGACGGAAAACATCGAGACACTATCCACACAACAGCAATGGATGTTGACTTATCAGAAGCGATTTATGTATCAGAAAGTGGGAATATAAGTGTTTGTTTTGTCCGTACGTTCATGAACGAGCACCCTTTTGTGTCTACCATTGAGGTAAGAAGCTTGGACGCGTCCATGTACACAGATCTTGGCCCCAAAGAAGGTTACATTCTCCAACGACGGTTCGCCTACGGTAGGAAGGAGTTAGTGAGGTAAGTAAATGTTGTGAAACTCCGCGAATTTTAATTTTTTTTTTCAAAAAAACAAATCAGAAACTCGGCGAATTATGATTTGAAGAAAACCAAAAAATAACTAGTGAGAAAATTCGATTGCAACAAAGGGCGTGTTTGTGTTATACCATGCAATTTACCTTGAAACAAACATCCATTCTAAAACTTTGTTTAATATAAATGAATAGATTGATTTTAGTGATAAAACCTCTTAACATTTTTTAATTAGAAAAAACCTTTAATTAGTTTTTTTAACTTATAAACAGTTTAAATTTGTTTTTTTTTTTTTTTTTTGGAACATAAACATTCATTAAAACTAAAAGAGCCAGGTGGTTGCACCACCAGCTACAAGGCATAAAGCCTGCTTGGCCAAACGATCAGCCTCTGAGTTTTTAGCTCGAGGGATCCAGCAAAAGCTACAGAAATCAAAATGAAGACAATAGATTCTAATATCGGACACAATTCCGTAAAGTTCTGGAGGTTCCACTGTGGAGTTCAACGCCTTGATAAGTTGTGTTGAGTCTGATTCGAATATAACTTGCTGGATCCCCAGCTCCTTACACTTCTTCACTGCGTCACGCATTGCCAAGCCTTCCGCCACAAGAGGCGAGCTGACCAGTGTAACATCGCCTTGGAAGCATCGGGGTTCCCATGTTTGCTTGATCATCCATCCCAGACCCGCTGTCTTTGTAGAAACACTCCATGCTGCATCGGTTTGGACTACTACACTTCGGGGCGGTATAGCAGTAGGTCTGCGTAGGTTCAACGTCTTGTTCCCTTCCTTGATCTGGGCGCTACTCCATTCCCTTGCTGCTACCACTGCCTTTGTGATAACGTCTTCCGGCGAACATCCTTTGTTGTTGAAAATCAAGTTATTCCTTGCCGTCCATATCGCCCATATCAGTCATGGTGCTAGTTGCCCATCCGCAATTCTCACAGGGGGTAAGCAGGGGTTTTCTAACACACTCAACCACACGGTTTCCAAATCTAATAATCCTCTCCTATCAAACCTCCTAAGCAAAGGAGCTTCTTCCCAGACTTTATCCACAAAAACACATTGAAAAAGAGATGATTACTAGATTCAATTTCTCCGCAACGTTTACACGAGGGATCAACGTTGATTTGACGGGCGAGTAGGTTTTCTCCTACAGGGAGAGCGCCACGGAGAAGCTTCCAAGCCAGCAACTGGACCTTGGGCGCAGTCTTCAGTCTCCATACCCCTTTATTCCAATTTAACCGTTTCAGAGGTTGGTCTCTCTCCTCCATCTCGTCTCTGAATTCTACAGCTGCAGCGTATCCAGATTTCGTGGTGTATTCTCCATCCTTAGTGTGGATCCAGAATAGTTTGTCAGGGGCGTCGAGTCTGCTTGGTTTAATACTAAATATTTCCTCTGCGTTAAAAGGAAACTCTTGATTGATCATTAGCATATTCCATTCCTTGGTTTCGCTACAGAGGAAATCAGCCACCATAAGATCGTTTCTGTTGTCCGGCTGAGGCCCCATAGGTCTGACCAGGCTTGTTTTACTAAGCCAAGGGTCATTCCACGCATTAATAGACTTCCCGTCTCCCACTGCCCAGCCCATATTTCACAGCAGAAGGTCTCTTCCCAACAAGATTCCGCGCCATCCATGAGTTTCTGAACTTCTATATGGGCAGTGAAGAAAATCTTCATAGGTGCAGTATTTTCCAAACAGTACCTTCGCTAGGAGGCAGGAGGGGTTGTGGAGGAGTCTCCAGCTTAACTTGGCAAGGAAGGCATCATTAAAACAGAGGAAGTCTCTGAATCCTAGCCCGCCATTTGATTTGATTTGTGCCATATCCTCCCAAGAGACCCAGGCCATTTTCTTTTTGCCATCAGAGTTGGAGTCCCAAAAGAAACTAGTTATGACAGATTGAATTCTTTTACAGAGAGAAACCGGGAGCTTAAAACACGTCATAGCATGAGAGGGAACCGCAGAGAGAACGCTCTTAATCATGACTAGTTTCCCGGCTGTAGATAGAAACCTGTTGGACCAGCCTTTAGCTATCTGTTTGATTCTGTCTATAATCGATGAAAAAAGATCTTTTTTGCGTCTTGCAAAATGCTCGGGGAGACCGAGATATTTTCCAACTCCTCCCTCACTATATATTTGCAATGTGTCTTTCACCACAGCTTTGAGGAAGGGAGGGGTTCTTCGTGAGAAAGAAACGGATGACTTTGCTGTGTTAATTGATTGGCCGGATGCTTTTTCATAGCGGAGGAGAAGGCAACGAAGAGCCTCACTGCTTCCCTCAGAAGCGTTAACAAAAAACATCGTGTCATCTGCAAAGAGTAAGTGATTTACGCGGGGACAGCCCTTAGCAACTTTAATGCCTTTCAAAGTACCATCTGCTTGTGCTTTGTTACATAGGCCCGAGAGAACTTCACTACACAAAATGAATATGTATGGTGAGAGAGAGTCTCCTTGTCGGATTTCTCTACTCGGTTTAACCCTTCCTCTAGGCGAGCCGTTGATGAGGAAGGAGTATGTAACTGTGGTAATACACTGCATGATCCATGTAATCCACTTTAGATGGAACCTCATCCTATGTAGCACTAAGGAGATGAATTCCCATTCGAAGCGGTCGTAAGCTTTAAGTTTGTTATCCGCAGTTTATTTTGGATGGAAAAAGTTAAAACTGAATGTAGTGTATTAGTTAATGTGTTTTATCACTAAACTAACATCATTATTTTTTACACTTTTCACATTAAAAGTTTACACTTTTTACAAATGTCCTATTTTTATTAATAAACTTGAAATTTTATTAAATTTATTTAGCATTTAAATTTTTGATTTAATTATATTAATAAGAAATATTATAGTTATTTTTTACCTAAAACATAACGGAGAATAATTATATAGTGTTCATCATTTAAAAATTGAAAATATATTTTTACTTTAGTATATTTCTACGATAGTGGTATTATTGGAAAGAAGGTTTTTTTTTGCTAATATATTGGAAAGAAGTTAACCTTTTATTTTATTTGCTTTATGTGGATATATATACAAATAAAGTAATGATTTGTTACATAAATAACATTGTTATCTACTTCTTATAATAATTCTTCATCTTCTAAATGTGGCCGCTTATGCGCTTCAGCGGCCCAAAACGCATTCAACAGTGAGTCACCATGACGATTTAAGGTGATGAATTTTATCACTAAAAATCATGAATAAATTACAATAGGTATAGACCGTAATTTATATTTCAAAACTTGATATTTATTTTCTATGTAGAAAAATTACTTAATCTAGTAACAGCAGTTTTCGTTTTGTAATTGGAGTTGGTAGGGTTTTGTTTTCTCGATGTTAATCGTTTTAATTTTATTTTATGTGCTATATGTTGTAATTGGTTTATGTCTTTGCTGAGTGGGAGAAGTTAAGTCCATGCAAACTACATTTACAGGTCACCGTTTGATCCATATGATAGATTTTGGGTTGAGCCAAGTCCAGACTTTCCAGTCACGGTACTAACAAGTGCTGCCGTTTCAATCAACACAACAAAATCAGAGAACCGGCCACCTGAGGTTGTCCTCCGCACGTCATGGTCAGAAAAGGATATGACTTTCTATGATATAAAACTTCCATTTACGGGAGTAACTTTTTACCTTGTCATGTATTTCTCTGAGCCAATAAGCCTTAGTTCCGACCAAAAGCGTTCTTTCTATGTTTACTATGACAAAAAGCAAGTGGGTTCGAGTCTAGTTGTGCCACCGTTTGGGGCAGTGACACAGACGAGTCTGAGAGATGTAATGATGAGTTCTAATCCTTATCTGGAATTTAAGGCTACACCGGACTCAAATTTGCCGCCACTCATCAACGCTCTCGAGCTCTATGTCGTTAGCAATAGTGATGGAAGAGGAGGAGGTGGTAACGGAACCAAACCAACCAACACAACTGGTGGTGATGGTGGTGGCAGCTCGGGTTCTGGTGGAGGCAAATCGGGTACGTATTTTCATATAATCGTATCTATACTTGGTCTACATATTTTAGGTATGGTTTGTTCAAAACAAATAATTAGTTTAGGTATAAACTGAGCAAGTATAAAATAAATTTCATAGAGGCGAGGCATATATACGATATTTTGAAATTAAGGAAAAAAATATTTTTCGCTTTATCTCTAAAACCAAATGTATTTGGCATACTTTAATTTGTAAAGGTAGATGGAAAAGAAAAATACCAATAATGAAATTGATAGGTGGAATGTATATAGTGTGAAGCAATATAAAAAGGGATTATTGAGTTGTGTTTAATACAAATTAATATGATGCATATACATAATAGTTAGCATTAACATATTAATAACACCAAATAATGTATGCTTCTTAGTTCAAATCTTATGCATTATGCCTATAGAGAATACGATCATGATGTAAATATGTTAATAGAATAGGATGTTATTTTCAAAATCATCTCACGTAACACAGTATAGATTTCACAGACTTCACAATTTACTTCATAAAAGGATTTTTGATGATCTATAAATTATAATAATTCGTTCGAAAAAAATATTATATTGTATTAAATATTTTCATACGATAAATATGAAATATAAAGCACACAATTATAACCACAAAGCAAAAGGCCTACATGGAGACGTCATATCAAAGGAAGGACAAAACAATTCAGTACAAATTCATCTAGATATAACTTTAATTTTTGAAAGATGAATTGAAAATCTACCTCTAGTCTCTTGTAAAGGGAAAAATACTAAGATGGATAAAACCGCAAATTCACGAACTAATGATCAGTCTAAAAGTAAATTATAAACGGGTATAAACTGAAGAAAATTAAATAATAGGTGCAATAACAAAAAAGTCACAATTATCTAACTAACCCATGTAACTTTATATTAAAATAAAAATCAAATCTATAACATTATTTGAGAAGTAAATTTGCTTAGTTGTCAACTTCTCCATGATTTTAGGTTATTTTGCTTATTTTCATGTTTTAATAATTTATTATAAAATAAAAACGAATTTATGTTAACAATATTATATTTTTAGAAAACATGTTAATTATTTTGTATTAGATTGTTATCTTAAAAATATATTTGAGAAGTAAATTTGCTTAGTTGTCAACTTCTCCATGATTTTAGGTTATTTTGCTTAATTTCATGTTTTAATAATTTATTATAAAATAAAAACGAATTTATGTTAATAATATTATATTTTTAGAAAACATGTTAATTATTTTGTATTAGATTGTTATCTTAAAAATATATTTGAGAAGTAAATTTGCTTAGTTGTCAACTTCTCCATGATTTTAGGTTATTTTGCTTATTTTCATGTTTTAATAATTTATTATAAAA